ATTAATACAAATTCACAACTTCGTAAGTTCACTAAATATTTCATAGGGTTCAATAAATTATTATCTTAAAGATGAATACATTTGGGGACGGTGTTACAGACCACATTAGACAAGACCAAATTTCCATGACTATAAAATACACAGATACAAGATATTATCAGACCAGATCATATTAGATTTAAACAAACCAGATCAGACCAACAAGTAGTAAAAACATCCTTAAACTCTTTATCATATTCCATTTTATATAAAGAATGTAGTTTTAATAGTATACACTTCCATCGCTTAAATTAAAATGCATAAATATAGATATAATCATTTCACACATCAAACATGAACAATTGAAATATATAAATATAATAAATACCGAATACATCATTATAAATGTGTTAAAGTGACTTCCATCTCATTAGCATTAATATACTCGATAATTGTTACCATCAATCTCATTGTTTAATGTTTATTAAAATTATAATATTAATGCTACTAGTATTAAGTATTAACATGAATGTGACTTGTAAGTATTATTATCATTTTTTAACATTAATCGTATTATCCCTCAATCGTATTAATTCTATTGTTTCTAATATATTTGTAAACTGTGAATAATTTTTAATTATAGTCTAACTTCTTTTAGTGAGTGTTTTTACCTGACTTGGATATAAACTCTTATTCATATGAAACACTTTTAACATTTAATTTTGTATATATATATATTTTTTATGAATTTGTAGTTAAAAATATTAGCCCCTCCTAGACTGAATTCCTTGATCCGCCACTAAAAGGTACCTTGTAAGCCCAATAAAGTTATAAACTTTCTTCTAAACCACCAAATCTAATTGGACGAGTCTGTCCATCGTACAATCGGTTGTATGCTGAGCACCGTATAGTCGGTGGAATTTTTGTAATATAATGTCAAAATCGCAGCTTCTGCTATTTGAGCATTAGTGTACTGTTAATGAGCAATACTCCAATTTTAATGAGTATTAAGAGTCTAATAATGAGCACCATGTTATTACAAGAAAGCTGATATCACAACTAAAAAACGGAGGCATTTTCGTAATTTCAGTGAAAATCACGGTTTTCGTTAGATGAGCATTAATACACTGTTAATGAGCACCAAACGTATTTTACTGAGTATAAAAAGTCGAATAATGAGCATAACGTCAGTATCGATTGAGCATATGTAGCTTACAAAATAAGCATTAATATGAAAATAAAAAGTTTTGTTAGTTGAGCATGAAGACATTTTTTAATTTATTGAGCGTTAAACCTCCTCTACTGAGTATTAAAATCAATGTGACTTGTAAGTATTATTATCATTTTTAACATTAATCGTATTATCCCTCAATCGTATTAATTCTATTGTTTCAAATATATTTGTAAACTGTGAATAATTTTTAATTATAGTCTAACTTCTTTTAGTGAGTGTTTTTACCTGACTTGGATATAAACTCTTATTCATATGAAACACTTTTAACATTTAATTTTGTATATATTTTTTTATGAATTTGTAGTTAAAAATATTAGCCCCTCCTAGACTGAATTCCTTGATCCGCCACTAAAAGGTACCTTGTAAGCCCAATAAAGTTATAAACTTTCTTCTAAACCACCAAATCTAATTGGACGAGTCTGTCCATCGTACAATCGGCTGTATGCTGAGCACTGTATAGCCGGTGGCATTTTTGTAATATAATGTGAAAATCGCGGCTTCTGCTATTTGAGCATTAGTGTACTGTTAATGAGCAATACTCCAATTTTAATGAGTATTAAGAGTCTAATAATGAGCACCATGTTATTACAAGAAAGCTGATATCACAACTAAAAAACGGAGGCATTTTCGTAATTTCAGTGAAAATCACGGTTTTCGTTAGATGAGCATTAATACACTGTTAATGAGCACCAGGCGTATTTTACTGAGTATAAAAAGTCGAATAATGAGCATAACGTCAGTATCAATTGAGCATATGTAGCTTACAAAATAAGCATTAATATGAAAATAAAAAGTTTTGTTAGTTGAGCATGAAGACATTTTTTATTGAGCGTTAAACCTCCTCTACTGAGTATTAACATGAATGTGACTTGTAAGTATTATTATCATTTTTTAACATTAATCGTATTATCCCTCAATCGTATTAATTCTATTGTTTCTAATATATTTGTAAACTGTGAATAATTTTTAATTATAGTCTAACTTCTTTTAGTGAGTGTTTTTACCTGACTTGGATATAAACTCTTATTCATATGAAACACTTTTAACATTTAATTTTGTATATATTTTTTTATGAATTTGTAGTTAAAAATATTAGCCCCTCCTAGACTGAATTCCTTGATCCGCCACTAAAAGGTACCTTGTAAGCCCAATAAAGTTATAAACTTTCTTCTAAACCACCAAATCTAATTGGACAAGTCTGTCCATCGTACAATCGGCTGTATGCTGAGCACCGTATAGTCAGTGGCATTTTTGTAATATAATGTGAAAATCGCGGCTTCTGCTATTTGAGCATTAGTGTACTTTTAATGAGCAATACTCCAATTTTAATGAGTATTAAGAGTCTAATAATGAACACCATGTTATTACAAGAAAGCTGATATCACAACTAAAAAACGGAGGCATTTTCGTAATTTCAGTGAAAATCACGGTTTTCGTTAGATGAGCATTAATACACTGTTAATGAGCACCAGACGTATTTTACTGAGTATAAAAAGTCGAATAATGAGCATAACGTCAGTATCGATTGAGCATATGTAGCTTACAAAATAAGCATTAATATGAAAATAAAAAGTTTTGTTAGTTGAGCATGAAGACATTTTTTATTGAGCGTTAAACCTCCTTTACTGAGTATTAAAACGTGCAATTGAGTATCGGTTGAGCATTCCTAAATTATAAAACGAGCGTTAGTAGGAAAATCATAAGTTTTTTAGTTGAGCGAGTATCAAGACGTTTTCATTGAGTATCAAATCTTCTTTGTTGAGTACCGAATGAGCATATGCAACTTACAAAATGAGCATAAAAAATTCAAAAGCTCATTTGAATTCTCTAATGTGTTGAAATTCAATTGTGTATGCTCATTTTTTTAATCGTTATACTCATTCGAATATACACAAACTCTTTTCTATAATACCTAAAATATTTTGTAATGCACAAATTAAAAAACTTAAGTTTGAAGGTTGATTGGAAAAACAAACTCAAACATTAAATAATATTTTATTTAATACATTATTATAATAATTGAATAAAAAATAAAGTAAAATATTGTTAAAGAAAAAATAAAGAAAAGAAAAACAACAAGTAAATTAAAGAAAAAGAAAGAAGGGAAGCAACAAATCAAACGAAAAAACAAAAGAAAAAAGGAGAAAAGAAAAAAAGTAAAGCAACAAGCAATCACAGAAGTAGTGCCGACGGAAGAAAAAGAGAAGCAACCGGACGAAGAAAAAGAGAAGCAGCAGGAAACACTAAGCTTACTAATGCCCTGAGAGTTTGAATAAATTACAAAAAGATCCGGCTATACCATGCTTAGGTACAGCCGGCCGTACGGTATATATTGCCCTAATTGGACTCACTTATTATCCTTTTCATTACTTCCATATTTACTGTTTTATATTTTTCTTTTTATTCATGCTATAGTGGAAAAGACTGAACGTGTAGTAAATTATACTCTCTCCGTTTCAAAATGTTTGACACGCTTTGACTTCACAAAGATTAAGGAAAAAGATTTACGAATGGGGTAAATGTTACTGTAGAATAGACTGTTGTGACACTGTTTTGCACTGTTTTGTACTGTATAGATATAAATTTGTTTACCAAATATCAAGTAAAGAAATAAGGAAGTGTGGAATTCAACTTGAAACATCCAAAAAAGGAAAACGTGTCAAAGAATATGAAACAGAGGGAGTAATATCTTTGTTCTACAATTAAATTCACAGTTTGATTTTTTGAGTCAAACTTTGACCTTTAATTATTCAAAATTTTCAATTCTTTCTCACAAAAAACTAATTTCACATATATACTTCATTGCAATATTTATTATTCAAATGTTAATTTATTAAAAATTTATAAGTGTAGATTTTTACATATTTAGAGTTAAACCTCCATCTAAAACATCGAAAACGTCAAACTGTGAATTTAATAATGAGACAACGATATCACATTTATAACATGTGAAGAATGGATCCGATGGATGAATGGATGTGGACCAGGGTGAAAATAGGGGGCCCTCAAGAAAAAAATTTGTTATGTGAACATATATGTATAAATATTTAGACAATAAAAAAAATATAGGAATATTTTAAGATTAGCTCGAACATAAATTTTTAAGTCCCACCCCTAACCTGATGTGGGTGGACGTCCAGCGGACCAATTCCCATCCCTATTCGAATGGAGCATTTCATGATTAGGCTGGAGTGAGTTGGGCATGTATTTGGCCGAGCCTTGCCTACTATTAACTCCACTCAAGCAACCACTCATGCAACTCAATTAAAACGTGCGAATTTCTCAAAAAGGAATACAAACGTTCACTTATGGATCTTATGGTTAATGAAATTGGATCATTTGTTTAAATAAAAAGAGGAACCTCTAATACGGCAGCTTCCCAGAGGTTAGTAAGTTAGTAACTAATTACTCAGTTTTATTTGTGGGAGTTCAATTAATTAACTGATAATCAAGAAGATTAATAATTATAATTAGCATATATGCTAATGTAACACCTGCTAATCTCCTCCCCATGATTTCATATAAATTTGTCGGATGTCTCCTAATACCAAACTCTTATCCCATTTTCGGGCATTATTATGTATGTTTCGATCATAGCATAATGTAATTAGCCTGTAATAATAATATCAAAACACAAATCAGAACTCAGGAGAAGAACTAATGGCCTGGTTAGGCCTTGGATCCTTGAGAGTTTGGTAGAGCCAAACACTTTGCTGTGGATATACCACAAACTCAAACAATTGCATGTAGTATATATGTTTGTGTGTGTGTGTGTGTTTGAAGCAGTATGTATATCAGACATTACACTAAAAGTTGGTTATATTCAAGGAAAATAAAATATGGGTAAAGGTAAGAGCGCAATGCTAAGTAGTAATAGTATTGGAAACACTACTGAGTGCAAGAATGTTATTGCAGATTGCAGCAGAGTCAGGGTTCTGCTTTGTGACTTCAATGCTGAAAGTTGTGGCCAAGTTTTCCAGCTTCTCACCCAATGTTCTTACCAGGGTATGCACGTTTATATGCTCTTACCTAATCATGGTTAAATCGATATTTTTCTAGAAAGTTTACCCGAGTAGAAGTCATCGAAAATGCATATATAGGAATCTTTTCGGAAATAATGTTTAATAGGAGTAATTTGCTCGTATAAAAAGGAAAAAAACGTACATATTCTTATTTGTGCATTTTCATATTGTTTTAGTCCTATTTCAAGCAGGTTTTGTTAGTATTCCGCCTTGGAGAAAATGTTTGGGTGGGATAGTAAAAGAAATTATAGCTGGTGTTGATATGGGCCTAGTATACCTTTGAGGTCTTGGACCCCTAAAGTATGTGCGCTGGGAAATAAATGGTTGGTCTGGTTCTAGTCAGGTTGGACAAATGAACTCTAATTAATTAAACTTGTGCAATAGTTAAGCACATACTGAGTAAATAATGACAAAATTTGGTTCAAATGAGAACACGACCTACAGAGAGAAATAAGAATGATTCTAGAGCGTTGGATTTAGATATCGTGCATTATGTGAAATAGAAATGTACACTATCATAAATTCGAAAATGTGCATTTGAACTGTGCACTATTTTAACAAGAAATGTGCACATTTGAACTTTGAGTTATTCTAACTATGAATGTGCACACCAGTGAGCTATAATATGTGTTTAGGAATAAGTTTTTCTCACCAGAATCAGCCCCAATGATATGTAAATATATGATGTGCAGTTGCTCCCGTGACTTCAACTGCTCAAATGTTTGATGCACTGAAATCTGAGGATCCTTGTATGGATATCATTCTTACTGAAATCGCGATTCTGATAGCCAATGGATCAAGCATTATGAGTTCCATCAAGCAGAATGTCAGACTTAGGCATACTTCAGTGATTAGTAAGTTTTTGTTTGAGTAACTTTATGAGAGTTCTCCCAAACTAAAAGATGTTGTTTTCCATCATTCTTCTTTCATGTGTGTGTCATCTAAATAAAAATATTTTGAGTGTGTATTTGGGAGGCTATATAATATGCTCAAAACTTCTACTACAATTTGACATTTGGAAAACAAAGATTCCATAACTGTTTTATCCTTCTCTTGTTACTTTTGGTAGTGATGGTGACAAATGAAGAGGTTTCCCTTATTGGGAAGGGCTTGGGATATGGAGCAGCTGACTATCTGGTTAAACCATTGAGTATTCATCAAATAAAGAATCTGGGAATTCACATCAAATAAAAACTTATGAGTTGTTTTCTTTCGTCCTTAATGCGAACGATGAATTTTTAGAGGCAAAGGTGACTCCATTATGAAGTCACACACTATGTGTGGCTATACAATGACTATTCATTTTCATATAGATGTATTCAGTATAGCTGCAGTTACTCCACTATAAAAATGAATGATTAGGATAAGGTCACATATACATACGGAGTATATGTTTTCATAGTGAAGTGATATATGACTTTTTTGTAATTTGAACTGTATTTAGCTTAATTTGAACACTTGATTTGATTTGATTTGATATTTCTAATGTTTTTGGATCATATAAAAATCTCTTTTATCTTGTCCAATCTCAACTTTATTGTTATTGTTTAAATCATTTCATGAATATAGTTGTTATTGTTGTGAATGTTTAATTTATTGTTGTTACTATTATTGTTGATTGTTGATGTTGAGGATGTTATATTATTAATAACATTATCACACTATTAGAGATATCACATCCACAATTACTATTTGTAGTTGCGGTAATTATTGCATTTAATATCATAACAATCACTACGAGCTCCTCAGCGATCAACCTGGAGAAGGTAGGAGAGTTGCGAGTTGATGACTCAAAGCTGCTAAAGAAAAACAGTTATGCTTCGTGTACACGGCATTTGTACACGCCATTTTACACGCCGATCAAATTGTCTGTGTCACAAACAATTTGATCAGCTTGTAGCCATGTAAAATGCATGTACAAATGCTAATGTACAAATAACATTAGCGAAAGGAGACCTTGTAATGGCACATGTCCTCCTAGAAGCTAGAGGATGTGGCAGTTGTCCCCTCACCTCAGGGGACCTTGTAATAGCACATGTTCCTTGTAACTACTTTTTATGTTATTGACGAGTTACTTTTCTTTGTTCAGCTTGTTTGTTCCTTCTTTTCTTTTTCATTCTTGCAAATGTTAGTGTCTTGACGAATTGAAGGTTGGTGTACATTTATCTTCAGAATCTAGTACCCTGGAGTAATTTGTACTGCCAAGGATACTCGTACTCTTGTAGGATTTGAAGTGTGGAAGTTCAAACACTATAAAGAACTAGTATTGTATCTGTTTGATGCATAGAACATAATATGTTTGTAATTTTGTCTTAAACAGAGTTTAATTAAAAATGGTTGCCTCTAAGTACTTAAGGTACATGCCTAATTAAGACTGATAAATACAGAGTAATTAATTTGGGGTGAAAGAAAACCCCTAAATTATAAATATGGATGGATTTATAATAAGAAAACCCTACACGTGTACAGAAGAAACGATCATAAAATTAGGACAAGAGGTGAGTACTTTTATGCCAAGTCAGAGGAATATGAAATGAAATTAGAACGTAATTTGAGAGCAGTCAAGCATTCATGCATGACTTTGTAGTTGAAAATTTCATAATAGGATCAATTCTACAAATTTTCTTGCATTAGGAGAATTGTACAAAGAAGTTGTGATTTAATACTTTATATTACGCTACCGCAATGATCGCAACCGCAATTTAAAATCATGAACATAGCTACTCACCTTATCCAAAATGTCCGATATTTGAACACACTAATTCAAGAATGAAGAATTAAAATTGAACGGAGATTTCAGATGAAGAGAGCTCCCTTTCCCCCAATTTTTTTTCTCGAACCAAAGTTGAATGGGGTCATCAATAGCTACCTTGATGTGTGGGTTGAGTCTTGAAAAATATTCCTCTCTACCATAACAGCAACCTAAAGGAGTTTGATAACAGAGTGAGACTTGAAGACTTGGATTTAGGGCATGTCATTTGTGACTTAGCTCTATTTGGACTCATCTTGTACCCAACACTCAAGTATAAGAGGTCTTCACCATTCAAGAGAAAGCTATATTTGTATATTTCTAAACATGATAATCATATACTTGTAGTATTATAATCATACTGTAAGCCCTACATTTCTGTACGTTTGAGCTCAATTGTGGGGTTTTATTCTTGCAAAAATATCGAATGAAAGTTTGGGTTTATATGCTTGTTAGGAAATTGCAGATTTGGTAATCCATTGAGATAATAAAGTTGTTAATTTGGAATCCATAGCATATTTGGGTGGTTGTGTTGCTATAGTTTGTTTGTACATGGTTTTTTATACTGAGTATGATTCAGAGTTCTCTAAAAAGTACAATTCCTTGTTTCCCTATTACAATTATATTGGGCTACCCATTCATGAGTTATGCTAGAGGTACAAAAACATTTACAAAAAGTCTTACAAAAGAGGTATGTGGCATCATCACATTATTTAACACATCACATCACATGTACAACACTTTTACATCAACGGTAATTAGAATAGCCACATCACTTGTTTGCAAGTTTTTTTGTAAGTGTGTTTGTACTTCTAGCATTTTTCACCCATTCATTGTTCACCTAAGGCCCTATATATTCATTTTTCTTAGCCTAGTGAGAGTATTTATAACAAAAGATTAGGTTCCCTTTCTCGAAATAATATGAGACCACGGTGGACGTGGTTGGCGCAGAAGACATCGCAGTCGAATTTTTTTTAGGGGTTTTTATATGATTGTGACTGATACAATGTGAGAAAAATACCAGACTTAACCTTAATGGTAGCCTGACAGGCACTAGTTGTTAGTGCCCAAGTATACATTTTTATTATTGTTTGTAATGTTTATTTACTAGTATTATGCAAGTTTGTAGTTGTTAGTTTGCATTTGATTGTAATCATATTTTTAGCATTTTATTGTTTGTTGAAAGTTGTAGTTAGTTGGGCTATAAGTTTAGGATATGTTTGGAAGCAAGAAGGGTGAAGAAACATGAGTTTTATGCAAAACCCGTTCGGGTATGGCCTTTACCCGATCGGGTATGAACTGATAGAGGAAGTTGCTGCGAAATTAGCAAATACCCGAACGGGTATTTCCTATACCCGGTCAGGTATGAAGTGATTTCGGGCAAACGACCGTGCAGAAAAACACAAGAACATGGGAAAAAGATTTGATTTGACAAATACCCGGTCAGGTATGGCAAATACCCGACCGGGTATGCGGCTATAGGTTTTGAAAACGCCTATAAATAACCCCATTTCCCTTCACTTTTAAATATCTCTTCTTCCATATTCTTAAGCTCAGTTTAGAATAACATTTCTTTATATTTTTCTAGCTATGTTTATTCTCCAAATGAGGAGCTAAACTTCCATTTCTTGGTTTTGCTCTTGAAGCTTGTTGATTATTAAAGTTGTGAGTTATTTTCTTAACTTCTCTTCTTGAATATTAATTCTTCCCTTAATCTATCTCTATATTAATGTTGGGGAGTGTTGCTAAGAAACAATTAATTAACATCTCAACATTAATTACTACTAGAAACTATCAACGAACCGATGGTTAATCGTTGATCATTTCACAAGTAAGTAACTTTGGTTTATTAATGCACGGTCGTGGTTAATAAACTTAAGAGGGATTAATTTTGTTGGTTAAACCGAAACCGTTGTGTTGAGGTTATCAATCTCAATTGATTTCATCAAGGAGTTAGAAGGATTAAATGCTACTATTAAATCGGTATAAGGCGTTGTTCTATATTTGATTAATAGCAAGAGTTATTAATGAACGGTCGTTGTTAATAACTACCCTCGATGAATTGGATATACTCCTCGATTGAGTATTCGAGAGGAGATAAGTTATAGATAAAATAAGGATCGACTAAATATATCAACAAGTGGAAAGTAGCAAAGCCAAGTTCTTTTTATCTTTGAATTAAAACTCTTATAAGTCGTTCATCTTGGTGTTTAATTAAATTAAATCACTCAATCCCAAAACCCCCCTTTTATTTACTAGTTCATAAAAAGAGAATTATCCCTTTCCCTGTGGATACGAACTCTACTACACTATACTACGTATAAGTGTTAGTATTGAATTTAGTTTGATGCACTACGACAAAGTGCTCGTCAAATTTGGCGCCGTTGCCGGGGAAAGGCAATTATTTTTCTTTTTATTTCTTTCAAGAATATATATATATATATATATATATATATATAAAGATTTCTATTTTTCTGAGCTTTGTTTGAGTATATGGTAAGAACGCGATCCATAAACCAACTCACCTACCAAACAAACCCCGAAATAGAACAAACTCTCGAGCGGTTGAAAAATAAATTCTCAAGCTCCGACTCGGGAGAATCATCAAGTGCTAGCTCTCATTCTAGCGAGTCGGAAGAGCCAATAACTATGGCTCTTGAAACAAGAACGTTAAGGGAGCTCACCGCTCCAAATACAAACCAGCAACCATTGTGTATTACCTTCCCTACACTCAATGAAGGTAATACCTTTGAGCTCAAATCGGGGCTTATTCATATACTTCCTTCCTTCCTTCATAAAACACAAAATAAAATAAAAATAACGTCGTGCCGCGACATTAAATAAGGCGCTTCTTGGGAGGCAACCCAAATTTGTATTTTGATTATTTTTCATTTATTTGAATGTGTGTGTGTTAAAACCTTTTCTAAAAAAAATTAGAGTAATCTGGGAGAAAACCCGATCGGGTATAAGCCAAACCCGATCGGGTGTGCTGCACAAAAGCTGAATACCCGAACCGGGTAAAAAATTGAAAAATTATAAAAACGATCAGAAACCCGACCGGGTATTAACAAAACTCGACCGGGTTTTGTGACATTTTAGGCTCTGGAACACCCTAGACCGAAAACCCATTCGGGTATGTTACAAACCCGTCCGGGTAAGTGTTTAAATTTTTTAAAAATGGGACAAACCCGATCGGGTAACCCCCAAAACCCGACCGAGTATTCAGCTGGAAAACATTCTGCCAAGCTATGTGTCGAATACCCATTCGGGTATTTACAAAACCCGGCCGGGTAATCGTGCGAAAGGTAATTAAAAATGGGGGTTTCAGTCCCCAAATCGACCATCTCCTTCCCTCAAGCTCAAATATTCACACCCCAACCTTCATTGTTGACAAATTCAAGCTCCAAATCCATCCAAATCCTCCATCAAAATTCCAAATAAACTCAATATTCTTGTTCCCCACATCATTCTCTCCATTTCTACACCCACCACACCAACCAAATCCTCCTCTACCCCAAATCCGAAAAAACCCTATCCCAAAATCCTCAAGGGTCCGATTTTACTCAAATTAACCCAAACCAAACCTAATTTCTTCTTCCCCACATCACCCTCTACACCTCCACACCCTCAAAAACACCCCCGCCCTTTTGCTTGAACTTGGGTTGAAAAAATCGGACTTGGGGCTTGGGGGTTTGAAAAATTCGGATTTTTGGGTTTTGGGTGCTTTTGAGGGTGTGGAGGTGTAGAGGGTGATGTGGGCGGGCACTAGGGACAGTGCCATGAACTAGCGGGGGGGGGGGGGGGGGGGGGGGACTATTCTGGTATGTTCACATTTCACACTCTTTATCCCTTTAAAAAAAAGTTTTAAAGCTTGTTAGGTTGAAAACCCAAAAAGGGCAACTTAAGCAAAATAAAAGCAAAAAGAAGAGTGAGTTTGTGAGGATAAAAATAAAAAGATGTGGGAAGCTGGGATGAAAACCCGAAAGGGCATCTAGGCAAAATGAGAGAAAGTATTTCTTTTATCTTTGCAGGATCCCAAGGGTATATACACGAGGAGCAAAAGAAGAGAAATCCAATGGTGTTGAAGACCTTTTATTAATATGTTTTGATCATTGAAACATTTTTATGTTGATAATCGAAAACACTTGTGAATGGTTGTGATTGCTACTATTGTTGCTTTGGAAACTTCATGGACATGATTTGTTTTACTCGAGACGAGCAAAAGTTCAAGTGCGGGGGTGTTTGATAGGCACTAGTTGTTAGTGCCCAAGTATACATTTTTATTATTGTTTGTAATGTTTATTTACTAGTATTATGCAAGTTTGTAGTTGTTAGTTTGCATTTGATTGTAATCGTATTTTTAGCATTTTATTGTTTGTTGTAAGTTGTAGTCAGGGCCGGCCCTGGTGGTGTGCAGGGTGTCCAACCGCACAAGGCCCAAAAAATTGGAAGGGCCCAATTTTTTTTGTAGTAGTATACTACTACGGTACTACCTCCGTCCCGCTATGATTGTCCCATTTTACCTTATCGGTTCGTCCCATTAAGATTGTCTCATACCAAATTTTGTAAAGTTTGTGTGGCTCTAAATCATTCTTACTTTATCTATTCAATATCAACCACATAAACCACTTTTTATTAATTTGTGTGTCACCTCCTCTTGTCCCAATGTTAGCGTGACGGAGGGAGTATTATTACTTAGGTGGACTAGGGCACGGCTTTGAAGCAAGCCTGGTTCGTCACTTCGTGTATTCCTCATCTGCAAAGGAGGAGCGTGTATATAGGAACGAAGGAGTAGTAAATCCTCCGTTTCCACCGGTGTGAGAATCTTAAGCTTTAGAAAGAAAAAAGAAAAGAAGCAAGGCATGCGGGATTTGAACTTAGGTGAAAATAAAAGCATGCACGCTGATTTCTAAACATCAACCACCGGACCAAATCAACTAATTGTTGAAATACGGACGTACGAGTTTTATATAACCTATTTGTTCTACAAAATAAATAATTAAAATATCTCTTAATGAAAATCGGTCCGGTTCGGTTAGAACCGATTTTATAACTCAAAAACTTTCATTAAACTGATTTGTGTTCGAGTCCCGACTTTCGGGTCCCATTTGAGTCGGTGCGGTTTCGTTTAGGTTTTTTTAACTTGTGTTGAAACTTTGAAAAGAAGGCTCAATTATTATTTTTGCACAAGGTCTTCATTTTCTCAGGACCGGCCCTGGTTGTAGTTAGTTGGGCTATAAGTTTAGGATAGGTTTGGAAGCAAGAAGGGTGAAGAAACCTGAGTTTTATGCAAAACCCGGTCGGGTATGGTCTTTACCCGATCGGGTATGAACTGACAAAGGAAGTTGCTGCGAAATTAGCAAATACCCGGTCCGGTATTCCCTATACCCGGTCGGGTATGAAGTGATTTCGGGCAAACGAACGTGGAGAAGAACACAAGAACATGGGAAAAAGATTTGATTTGACAAATACCCGGTCGGGTCTGGTAAATACCCGGCCGGGTATCCGGCTATAGGTCTTGAAAACACCTATAAATAACTTCATTTTCCTTCACTTTTAGATATCCCTTATTCCATACTCTTAAGCTCAGTTTAGAATAACATTTCTTTATATTTTTCTAGCTATGTTTAGTCTCCAAATGAGGAGCTAAACTTCCATTTCTTGATTTTGCTCTTGAAGCTTGTTGATTATTAAAGTTGTGAGTTATTTTCTTAACTTTCCTTCTTGAATATTAATTCTTCCATTAATCTATCTCTATATTAATGTTGGGGAGTGTTACTAAGATGACAATTAGTTAACATCTCAACATTAATGACTACTAGAAACGATCAACGAACCGATGATTAATCGTTGATGATTTCACAAGTAAGTAACTTCGGTTTATTAATGCACGGTCGTGGTTAATAAATTTAAGAGGGATTAATTTTGTTGGTTAAACCGAAACCATTGTGTTGAGGTTATCAATCTCAATTGATTTCATCAAGGAGTTAGAAAGATTAAATGCTACTATTAAATCGGTATAAGACGTTGTTCTATATTTGATTAATAGTAAGGATTATTAATGAACGGTCGTTGTTAATAACTACCCTTGATGAATTGATATACTACTCGATTGAGTATTCGAGAGGGGATAAGTTATAGATATAACAAGGACCGACTAAATATATCAACAAGTGGAAAGTAGCGTAGCCAAGTTCTTTTTATCTTTGAATTAAAACTCATATAAGTCGTTCATCTTAGTGTTTAATTAAATTAAATCACTCAATCCCAAAACCCCCCTTTTATTTACTAGTTCATAAAAAGAGAAGTATCTCTTTCCGTGTGGATACGAACTCTACTAGGTATAAGTGTTAGTATTGAATTTCTTTTGACGCACTACGACAAAGTGCTCGTCATAGCCCCGACAGACATATTTATAGTGAAAGGAGTTATAATTACGATAGGAATCCCACACTAATAAAACGTAGTAATAAGAAACTAGTCTATTACTTTTGTGTCTTGGAAAAGCTCAACATGGCTATATTATTAGATGCAATTCTAAACTCGTTTAGCAAATCATGAGTTTCGTAATGGTTTAAGCATTATGCTTTAGTAATTTCAAGATCATGAGTTGTGTAATGGTTTTATTTTGTACCAAATTTGACCACTTTAATATAAAGGCATGGTAGCTATCCTTTTCATGATGCCTTTTGATTTTTTATCACATGGGAAAAGGTATCTTATTTGTAAAAAAACATTAAAAAGCTCATTTGATAACACTGAAATCGGCTGAATCGAATGATTCTATCAAAATTTACGAAGGTTTGGCTGAAGTGGCTGTATTGATTGATTCTGCTTATTTATGAATAAATTATACTTAAAATATATTTTGTTAATAAAATAAAGAAAAAAATATATGCAAAAATAGCTAAAATGATCATCTACAAAATTTTCAGCCAATACAGTCAGAAAACTAACTCCAACCTACCTTTGTCTTATTATTACACAATTCAGCGCACGGAATAAAACGTTATGCGTTTGGTTAAAAAGTTGGCTGATAAGTTTGATAAGCCGAAAAACAGAGTCACCAAACGGGTTGTAAGTTTGTGGTATTTCTTTCGCATTTTGTATTTCAGGTGTTGGTGATGCGCCACCCATAAGACTAAAGCAAGACGACACCGTGTTGTAAGTTGTAACTAGAGGTGGACTAGCGATCCTGGACTGGTGCCGGTCCGGGTAATCCCAATCTTGGGAGTGTGTACGGGACCGGTTTTAAGAACTGTCTAGCCTAGGGGGACGAAGGGAGTATTAAGAACAAACATGCTAGATGCATGCATGATTATATTATTATTCAATAATATAGAATAATTTATTGGATTGAGTGGGTGCATGTATGTATGGATTCGCTCGAGCCTCATTCTGATAACTCCGATCGGAACTGGGATTGGAGATGACTAATCACATTCTTGTCCAAGAGGAATGCTTTACTCAGAACCTCAGGAAAAACGGGAGGATCAGTACCAAAAAGAGCATTAGGTATAAGGATGGCTCCTGGATCTTGGCTCCCTAGAGCAGCAAACACACCTGCATTGCTCCCTCCAGTGTTGTATAGGAAACGAATGAGCCCTTTCGGGAAGACAAAAATGTCGCCAGGACGAAGCGTCTTGGCATACAACTTGTTCCTCGAGTCAATGAATCCAACATATAGTGTTCCTTCCAACACCGTTATAACCTCGGTGGCTGGAAGGTGGGTGTGGGGTGGACTCACTCCATATGGTCCAAAGTCCATACGCCCTATTGAAACACCCAATGTGTTTAGCCCAGGTAGGATTTCCACTCCTATTGGAGACGGCATGTATCTTAACCGATTTGATGTGTTTCGTGGCTTGTTAAACTGGGCTTGCAAGTAGAAATCATCAGCATTCACTTCATTTATGTTCTTGCATATCTTTCCATTCACAAACACTGCACATTCCATTGCATAAAGGTAAGTGAAGTAAAATAAAGTTACAACTTAGGCCTCACATGTGGACTATGGTGGGTGTCCTATTATACAAGGTAAGTGAAGTAAAACAAAGGTACTAACTTAGGCCTCACATGTGGACTATGGTGGGTGTCCTATTATACAATGTTCATCCTTTTTGAGATCTTTTCCAGAAGGTAGAAGCAATATAAACATAAATATAAATATAACATGTAATCCTAAAGAAATATAAGTACTTTTTGAATCCTTTAAATGTATGAAAAATATATTGGGATGTACATAACTACATATACATGACTAGCAACTAGTCTAGTTAATCGGTTTGTTTATAGCACATACTCTGATTTGCAAGATAGTTAATTATGCGTAATAAGTCACACATATATAGGTATGTATGTGGTCTGTATTCAAATAAGAAGTATGTTTTGCGTGAAAAGTGAGAATGAATTAATGCTTTTGGATCAATCTATTAATGCCCTTTACATAGGACATATGATGTTTTTTCTTTTAGACTGTAATTTGCTGGTCCGGTCTGGTCTGGTTTGTATGAGTCTGGTCTGAACTGGTTTGATAAACGTCTAGTCTCTGTATATTTTATAATTATCCAAGTCTGGTCTGATCTGGTCTGAGCTAGTCTAGTAATTCTAGTCTTTGTGTATTTTATAACTGTCCAAGTCTGGTCTGATCTGGTCTGGTCTGATCTCTTTAAGTCTGGTCTAATCTGATTTGAAAACAGTTCAAAAGAAAACATCCTTAAAATTGGATGTTATACTACCATTGTCATCACTCACAATATTTAGAGTCATGAGAACTCAAATTGGATGCACTAAAATTTTGCTTCTTTTTGATGAGGTAGACTCTTTTTATTTGAACCATTATACGTTGATATCTGTGGGAAATTGTTATGCTAAAACATACCCTTGTTCTGTAATTAAACAAGTTGTCACTTGACTTCCAAATTGTCTTCACCCTCACTAAGCTAGAGTGATGGAAATTAAAGAAAGGGATAAATAACAATATTCATGACATTGCAGTATAATAAAATTGCAATATAGGAGAACGAGGCTTCATTTTGAGACCTCATAGGAAACTTATTTTTAGAAGTCTTTAGACAAAGAGATGAAAGTGGTTGATTAAATGTATCAAAAATCTATTTGTACACACTTTTGTCCACATCCCCTAGTTTTCTATGTACACAAATAATTCGTTAAGAAAAGGACAGGATTGTCTCCCAATTGCCTGTGTACACACGCAGTGTACAAAAGTGTGTACACCATGAATGATTCTAAATGCATACCGTTAGCCTCAGAATCCTTGACAGCCACACAAAAGTCCTGCAACTTATCCGGATCTGATGCACGAGTGAATGAAGAAGAGTCTAAAGCTATAGCTGCAATGGCCACAACTACGATGAGAGGCATATTACGACTCATATTTATTTGGAGAGTATGTTATACAGTTTAATATCTGGTAAGAGATGGAATCCTTATTTTTCTTAGGATGTGAGGGAAATTATCACTTATGGATGGCTTTTTATATAGGTATTAAATGAAGAGCATAAATGGTTTAAGAATTGTATCTTTATGCATATAAAAAGAATATGGTGGAAATCCAGATAGAAATCCATTTGAGGCAAACGAAGTGAAAATGTATTGTCATAATGAATGAAATCCTTTGCACGGATAATTAAGAAAACGAGAAATGTGTGAACTAAAATTGTGCTGAGAGTAGAGAAAGTGAGTAAAAATTTTGTAAACCACCATTTTTTTACCAAAAAGGGAAAGAAGAGTTTATATTGGGATGGAGGAAAAAAGAAAGAATGAAGATAATTTTGGGACGGAGAGAGTAATAAAATTACTCAACAATTAACGACAATCGATGAAAAAGTACAAATTTAATAATAATTGTAAGTTATAAAATGAACATTAGAAAAATGAGGACAGAGACGATAAAAATAAATAAAGTTATTCGAAAAACATTGTAAACATCCACATGGAGAACTAATTGAGAGACATAACATAATAAGGTTAGAAAATGAAATATACAACTTTCAAAATATAAAATAGAGTACTACATTATATTCAAGTGTGATGAATCCGGCTACAAACATTGTTTATACAACAATACGATGATAACAATTAGTGCCCCCGTAAAAGTTGACCAAAATTTACCTCCATCTGAAATAAGAAAGTAGAAATTGTATAGTTGAGATTTGCACAGATGAGAGAAAAATAACCTAACCACATACTCCCTCCGTCCCTTAAAACTGTGTCATCTTTTCTTTTTGGGACGTCCCAAAAAATTTTGCCACTTTTCTTTTTAATCAATTATTTTGTGGTTCCTGTTAGTTTTCTCTCCTCTGCACAAACCTCAACCACATATTTTTTACTATATTATTCTCCGTGCCGGTCAAGTTTGACAAAGTTTTAAGGGATGTAAAATAAAATAAAAAATGCATTCTTTTAATTCTATTGTATGTGTCCATTAGTAAATATAGAGAATTCAATCGTTCTAGATCCACATAAATGAACATATAATTGTACTAAATGTAATTTAGCAATCATAATATTAAACTTAATTGAACTCACATTAAAAAAGGGAGAACTATCAAATAAGCCCTCGAACTTACATAAAAAGTGCAAATAAGCCTTTTTATAGGAGACTCTGTCCGGCCGTCGCCATTTGGGGCGTTTTCCGGTAGATTTTTTTGATGAAATATTTTTATCATCTTCTTCATTAAGTCCAGTTTACTCATACCAAATTTCAGCTAAAACTTCAACCGAGAAGACAGTCAAATGATTTTCTGAAATATACTGGAATGTTCGTGGTACCCTCTTGTAGGGTTTGAAGGTGATAAGTCCGTATTTAGACACGCATTTGATGCGTGTTGGGATCGGGTTTGATGGTTTTCCATAGCTTTAAGGTGTTACAAGTCTCAATTTTAGCTCAAGTTATGTTTATCGGGCGTTGGTTCGAGTTTTGTGTCATTTGGAGTCAAAATGAGGATTTTAGAGTTTGGCACCGGTGCTTGAGAAGAAATCAGGATGAGTTGAGAAGCATTCAAGAGTGATTTGAGAGCTTTGCAGGTCACCGGGATGTTCACGATGGAGATTTGAAGGAAAAAGAGCTCTAGGATTGGCTACGGGATCAAAAGAACATGAATGGAGCTTGAAATCAGCGATCAGGATGACCTTCTATCAATCAATCAAGCATATCTCTTTGTAGAAACATTCAATGTACACGATTCAAAGTCCATATGAAAGCTAACTTCAAGGGCTACAAATAATACGAAGACACCTTTGCTAGATTCTGAGAGAAAGAAGGTCAAAACAGACGATGAAGTCAGATGATCTCTGCTGCGATTTCAGAATGATACCTTCCACCATTTTGATCATATCTCTTTATTGGATGATTCAAATCACATTCGGAAAATGGGGGTGGATAGAGAAAGCATTTCCAAATTCGGAAGTTAAGTAGGTACGATCGTGCCCTCAAAATCCGGAACGATCGTGCGTGAAGAGAAAGCATCGCGGAGCTACTGCCAGACAGGCACGATCGTGCGTGGAGGGAGGCACGATCGTGCCTGCCCAAAATGCGCGTTTTTGCTCCGGAGGCACGATCGAAGGCACGATCGCGCCTGGCAGCATGCCTACCTCCGAAAATCCCAATTCAGCCCAAATTTTACTCGATTTTTCTATCTAAACGGCCTGTAAACCCCGTTTTGGGGGGAGCTTATAGAGAGTGCCTAACATGAAATTTAGAGAGCTTTTCAACCTTGTTCATCAATCTTTTGGGATTCTTTGTAAGTTCCACATTTTTAATTAATGACAATTAATTCTTTTCTTGCCAATTCTATTGATTCTTCAATTACGAATTGTGAGTAATTTTAATTAGGGATTTGGGATTGATGAAGGGGTTGATCATGATGTATGGCTAGATTCTTGATGGTTTAATTGCATGAATACCGTTTAATTTGTGTTTGAATAATTTAATTGATATCTTTTGTAACCTGGAACCGCGACTAGAATTACAATTGCTTTTAGAATAAATTAAGAGAGATCTAGTTTATTCTAGGACACATTCACACACACTTAATCGTTCGCTAAGAGATTAGTAGCGATTAAGGGGCCGTAAGCTCGCTCGTCTTGGTAATAATTTAGGATCATGTCGCATGAGAGATCAACCTGGTCCCCTAAATTATTGTACTCTACGTCGCGAGAGCGGTAAGAACTTAGTAATAATTAGCTAGGCTCAAATGAATTAATTTCATGTAATTAGGCCTGATCTATCAGAAATCTGGTTACCCAGAAATCAATCTCTGTTCCCTTCGTCATTAATTAGAAAGAACCCCCTAGTTTAATTGTTTTATTCACATTTTAATTTTCCAGCAACCAATCTCGCACGACGCATTTTTATTTATTTCTTTTTAATCGCTGAATTTAGTTAATCTTTGATTCCCTTTTGTCCATTCCTGTAGAGACGATACTCGTACTTACACCACTATATTACAATCTATTTTAAGTGCGAGAAAACTCACATCAGAAGGTAGTTCCGAATTTGTGTTCGGATGAGGGTTTCAGCGCCGTTCGATCTTCTCAATTGTCCGATGTCGCTGGTGATGGTGTGCATCAAATTTATGTACTTTGGATTTTGGAAAGATATCGATGGGGGTTGGTCTCTGTTTTTTTGTGTTTTACAATCACAGATACTTTGTGAGGATCCAAAGCGGCTTGGGATGGATGGTCAAGGAAATTGCGGTTTGAAGACGCTGAGCGGTGAAGGGAGATTAGAGACAGAGGATGGAATAAAAGATGGATTTACGGGACTTTCATGCGTCCATTCCCAAAATACGAATGTCAGAATTAGCGTATGAATTTACGGGAAATGGAGTTGGCTAATTCGACTTTTCTAGGTTTTTGGATGAGTTTCTAAGTTGCAAAAGGCAAGTCAGAGCTGTCAGAATCTCTCTTTTCGGATTCTCTTAATCCGACTTTGGGTTTTATTTTGGGGCAGAAAACGGATTTGGTGAATCCGAAATTTTTTAAAACCAAATAAAAGGAAACAATCGGTTGTCAGGAATGCAAGTAATGCATCCATGATTGTCAGGAGTACTGTGGCATGGTCAGAAGCAATGAAATTCGGATTTCACTAATCCGAAATTTGAAGCCTCCCGGATTGGCCAGAACAAATCTACCCGGGTCGTGCTTCTTCAGTTCATTTTTCAACCGTAGGATGTAACAAACTCATCCCAATTGTCCACTGTTTTGCACGGAAATCCATACTCCCAAACTCAAACTTAACCTCTTTAAATCACTTCAACATCATATTCAGCCTACTACGATAAAAATAAATTTAGTTACAAAAAAATATTGAGTGTTCTTGCTAATTCTATTCTCCGAGTTCTTTAAAGAAAGGTTAGAATTTTAATTATATATTTACTCTTTACCGTTAATTTTTTGTACTGGTTGTGTTATGTCAGCCTGAATATTTCGAAAATCTTAATATTAATATGTAGTTAATCTTAATTGCTATTAAGATAGTTGATATATGTCATACTAAATATATAACAATAGAAATAATTAGCCCACAACTTATAATTATTTGTAGTGTTTCCTTGACAGTAGTTAATTTATGTTGATAATGTAAGCACATTTACTGTTTTTCAATTACTCAAATTATTGGTTCACTAATATTTGTTACTAATGTATTAAATACTCCCCCCGTCCCATAAAATTCTCCCCACTTTTCTTTTTGGGGCGTCCCAAAAATTCTTCCCACTTACCATTTTTGGACAATTTGTGTGGTTCACATTTATTTGACCTTTTTCTTACACAACTACAACCACACATTTCCACTTTATTCCACTTTCTTAATCTCCGTGCCAAGTTAAAGTGGGAAGAGTTTTCTAGGACAGAGGGAGTAATAAATTAGTGTATATGGTAATTTGAGACTGCGTTGCTATTACAATTTAAATTTAGTTTAGTTATATGAACATTAATTTAGTCATCACTACTTATTTCCAAATAACATTATAATATAATTTAGTTCATAACATTTATTATAATTGAGAACTAGTCCTTTTCTAGTTTCTGGCACAGTGAGAATATTACTGAGTGGCAAGTCTAAAATTTGTATCGGTACATATAATATAATTGCACTATACTGGTACAATTTTCACAAGCTCGTCTAGAACTAGTCCTTTTCTAGTTTCTAGCACGGTGGTAATATTGTTCAGTGGATAAGCCCAATATCAACCGTACATATATTATAATGTAATACATAAGACTGATATAGTTTCATTGAAAGTTTATGTGTAATTTATAATTTCATTTAATAAAACACGTCATTATAATATACATACACACACATATATAACACTAATATATGATTCTTATTGTTAGTTGAGATACGAATGGCTGCACAAATACCACTTATGGACCCGGTTGATCGGTCTGTGCTGGTGATGCCACGTTACGTGCATCGCGCGGACCTTGTTTGGAATGATGCTACATCCATGGATGACAAGTTGAGGAGTAATGTATATTGTTC